AAAAAAAATTATGTAACGGACTTTAATAATGTGGGTAATATGAAATTAATCACATTGTTAAAAGTACAATGTAAAAAATATATTAGTTTATGACATAAAATAAAATAAAAAATTATAATTGATGAGGTTAAAGTGTAATTTACCCGAATTATAAATTAAGGTGTTTTTCAACGCTAACATATCTGTGAAATTAGTCTCTATCATGCATAGAAGAAATTTTCCCCTAATTCCACATCAAAGACAAAAAGATAAGTTAAATTAATAGACCTACCTTTTATTTTTTCAATAGCAATACGATAATTATTTGCATGCAATCTGAACATGCAAACAACTTCTTGACTGATTTTAAAGCTAAATGGCCAAAAGAAAAAGCTTTTTTTCTCTGTAGTTGCTTTCCAATTGGAAAAACAAACTTGTCATCATTTTTTGTTGTGTCCCTTTCTACTAAATGACGCCTTCAATTCATGTCTTCCCATCGATGTTTGAGTCTGTGTTATATTATTTTTGTGACTACCCCTCCATTTAAGACAATATGCATTTACTTGCATCTCATTGCATAGTAATACTATTGGTCAGTATGATGTGGTTCCAACATCATATTGAATATTTACTCTTAATTTTGCACAATTAATAATTTCTAGCACAATTCAACAACTCACCACAAAATGATTATAAAATTCACAACAATTTAGTTAAGGGTTTTTTTGAGTCATAAATAGGTTGACTTGTCACTAAATTTGGTAAATGGATCGAACTCGATCTTCTTAAATATGACTTACAAACAACACGATCACCAATATAAGTATGTTAAATGAAGATAGAGTAAACTTTTACATAACATAGTGATAGCATCCATTTAAAACTCCATTGATACAACCTGGTTGCTATCATTCAACTCACCCTTCATATAATGTGAATCGAATAAACTTTAACATGACATGGTGATATGACCCATTTAAAACTCTGTTTGCCTTTTGCCTTTTGTCTCCCACTAGTAAGCTTTGTTTAATTCTAAATGGGTAGTTGCTTTCCAATTGTGGAAAAAAAACTTGCTATCATTTTTTGTTGTGTCCTTTTCTACAAAATGACACCTTCAATTCAAGGCTTATTATGTTTGAGTTGTGTTATATTATTTTTGTGACTACCCCTCTATTTAAGACAATATGCACTTATTTACTTCTCATTGCACACTAATACTATAAGTCAGTACGATATAGTACATTACAAGAAAAAAAAGTTTTTACGACGGTAAAGTGCTGTCACAAATATTTTTTGTGGCAGTATTGCCTTGCCATAATAAGTGTGGTCTCAAAAGATTTTTATGACAGTAATAATCTATCTCAAATAATATATACAATAGCAAGACTTTGTCGTAAATAGTTGTCACAAAAAATTCGATACTTTTGTTTTTATTACGGAGGCAAAAATGCTGCCTCAAATACCATATTTGGCTGTCAAATGAAATATATTTATGACGGCAACGATGCCACCACAAAAAAAAAAAAATAATTATTATCGACTGTTAGTAACCAATGTTCTATACGCTGTGCATATATACACTTCTATTTTCCATTCTTTTTTTTTTGGGAGGGGGAGGACTTCTATTTTCCATTATTTTTTTTTTGGGAGGGGGAAGAGGGAAGGAGACTTGAACCCTTGAGTTCAATAAGGCAAAACTTTCAAAAGGTAAGAAATACCATTAGAACAAAGGCTCATTGGAATCAATACAACTACCCAATTTAACATATAGAAAAACACAAAAATAAATATGACCAACATTTTCAAAAACATAGCAATATTTTCATATCAAAGAAACTAATCTCATAAGTTAAACAAAATGTAAAATATGCACTTTTACAAAACATAATAATCCATGAGCACAAGAAATTAATGCAAAAAGTTGAACATCCTTCCCAAACCATCTATTCTCTCATTAGCATTTGAAAAAAACATAAAAAAATTATTACTATATACTGAAATGATATATATATATACACATATACACACACACACACACACACAATAAAAGAACTAAAAGAAGTTAGAATATACATCAACATAGGATTACACAATATTTCTTCGAACAACTTATCTAATTATGTAAATGGTATATAAACGAGTCATATCGTATACATTTTTTTCTAATTGCTTTTACTAATATTTAATTCATTTATAGTCGTATCGTGTCGGGTTCACTCGTTTACTAAACATGTGGCTTAAGGAAAACTCAAACCTACTAATTTTATATCGTGTTAACGGGTCGTGTCATATTTTGACACCTCTAATTTTGATATAAAAAATTGACTTTGTAGAGTTTAATTTTTTTTTTTTGAATTAGAAATTGTCTTTTGATATAAAACTACATAATTTTATAAAATATTACTTGTAACATGAAAAATAATTGCGGTCAATACAAATTTTTTTTAGAGTTTTTATTCTTTAAACTATAAACTGTTTTTTAATCTAAAACAACATTTTAATGTTTTATGAAATATTATATAAGACAGGAAAAATAGCTGTCATAAATATAAAAAAAAATTTGAGTTTATGAAATATTATTTGCGACAGGAAAAATAGCTGTCTCAAATACAAATATTTTTTTTGAGTTTATGACACTTTTTACGGCAGGAAAAATAGTTGCCACAAATATTAACAAAATATTAATACAAATACATTTTTTATGACGGTATACATAGTCGCCACAAAAAATTGTCTCAAATACACCTTTTGTGATGACAAACACAGATGTTGTAAAAATTTTGTCACAAATGCCCTTTTTCTTGTAGGGGTACCAGCATCATATTGAATATTTAGTCTTAATTTTGCACAATTAATAATTTCTAGCACAATTCAACAACTCGCCACAAAATGATCATGATTGATTTCCACTTTGGATAAATTATTTATAATATTCATAGTGACCTTTGAAAACAAACAATTGCCCTGCATGCCCAAACAAAAAGTTGGTTGCTTTAGTTGATTCTTAACTCATGCAAATTAACTATGAGTGGGGTGATTCGGTTGGGGATACAGATCGAAAAATTAGAGGTTCGAGTTTTAAAATTTAAATTGGAGTTTAGTGGTTAAGTACTATGTTAGTCTAGTTAAGTGAAGAGTAACGGGTACAGTCAAAGACTTCATGATCCCACCAGTCTCAGGATACTCTTCTTTATCCCTACCCCTTAATTTTAAATATAAAAAAAAACACAAAAAAAATAAAAAAAAAACTCATGCAAATTATATATACATGCAAATATGTGAAAGAACACTTGAGCTAAGCTAATCTCAGAGGCAAGAAGCTCTTTTGAGAGAGAGAGAGAGAGAGAGAGAGAGAGAGATGCATCTATTGCTGTGCAAGTTCTCAGTTACTCTGTTGCTGCTATCGGCACTGCACTGCGAAGCAGCCGGAGTTGGCTCCGGTGACGCTCACGGCAACTCCACAACGCCATTTCTCCCAAAACAAGAAGGTAATAAACAACTGTCTAGTTTTCTTGCGACTTCTTATCATAAAATGACTCAGTTTTTTAATGTACAACGACGGAGAGGGGATTCAAACTTCTTATTAATATCATTACACTTAAAACATTAACAAATTTGCATGACTTTACAGTTATCTTCCCCTCTTGTATCTGATGCAAGTAATCTCCTGGAGAATACTGAAATATCCATAGCATTAACAAATAATCTATCATCCTAATGCCTTTTAAGTACTTTTTTGGGGGTATTTATAATGTGTGATTTTGGGTCAAAATTCTCCTTTTACAAAAAAAAATATTAAGGGTTTCAAAGCTAGCAGTAAGCAAGATCTAAAGACGTTTTAAGTTAAATTCCAATTTACCATCGAGTGGGGTGATCCAATGGGATACCGACCGAACTTCTCACCCTGAGGTTAAAGGTTTGAGTCTTAGAATTCACATTAAGGTTCGGTGGTTGACTGCTGTGCTATTCTAGCTAGGTTTGTTCCCGAGAGGAGTAACGGGCACAGTCGAGTCTCATCATCCCACCAATGAAAGACTATCAAGATAGTCTCTGGTCGTTGTCTAAGTAAAATTCCATAAAATTTGAGGATTTATAAAAATTCTCTCAGTTAGCTAGGGTGCAATTGATACTGATTGGATCGGTCAGATTTTGCCCTGTGCCAAGTCAAGTTTGGGATAAATTTTGGCAAAGTGGCCCAGCCCATGTTAACTCCCATATAGTAATTTTTTAAATTTCTTGAATTAGTTATCCCTCAAATGCTCCCTTGATTTGATGAAATATTCAAGTAACCCTAGATTGGGAGAAATTTTTGTGTGATTATAACGCAACATATGTAGGCTTGTCAATAAATCGGTTAGGATGATCCGAATCCAAATTTAAAAGTTCAATTTGAATTTGATCTAATAATCTAACGGATTTTATTTTTGTGGTCCATATTCAAATTTGTTAAAAATCCGAAATTTTATTCGAATAACTTAATTAACTTAATTTTAACAAATTATACCTAAATTTAAAATAAATTTCTTAAAAAATCACTTATTTTTTTATTTACATAGAAATATATAAATAGATTTGGATTAGAGCATAATCAGATCAAATAAAAGTATATCCAAATCCGAATCTATGAAATAAAAAGATATCGGATTCAAATTCGGGTTTGAACTATCGGTGAAAGAAAATATCAATCCATCTCCGGATAATTCAATTCGGATTTAGATTAGAATTCACTCTATGGATAAGACTAACTATATTTGTAAATTACTAATAAAATAGTGTATATTCTCAATGAATGAGTCAAAATAAATCAGTAATCATTTTGTGTTGCTCTAAAATTTGTTGTTATCAGCGGAGGAGGCTTAATTGATAGACAACTTTAAGGCAATTGTTAATGATGTGTTCAATTGCCTTGTTTTAGAATTTACTTGGATTAAATTTAAAGTGATAAGCACACAAAACAGTGAATTAATAAAATATAATTATTTTATTAATTCAATCGAAGAGATTTTAATTACAGAGAGACTAAATTAATAACTTTTGATTACCACAGTAACTATTTCCTAAAACTAACTTAACACATTTTTTAAAATGCTATGCACCACATGTCATACGATTGGTATTGTTTGCACCACTGATTTTATGAGGGTTTCGTTTCCTGCTTGGGAGAGGAACAAATGCTTCCATCCTTGTTTTTGGTTCATGATTCGCTCCATAATGTAGTTGAGTGTTTGTGCTTTTGATCTGCCACAAAAAGCTGCGAATCCCAGTTGAGAGGTAAGGGGCTCATCTGTAGGTTCTGGCAGATTTCCGTCCTCTTGTCTTCCTGCGTGTTGCCTGAGAAGATAATTCCAGATTTCTTCAGATTGATCAACTGGCCAGATGCCATGCTGAAACGTCTCAGAATATCCATAAGATGGTTGCTTTCCTGTATATCTGCTTTTACAAACAGGCGTGAATCATCAGCCAAAAACAAATGGGATAAGGTGGGGTTCCTCCTTTGGATCCTAATCCCAGAAATATTCCCTTCTCTCACCTCCTCGTGGATAATTCTAGACAACACATGAACCACAAGTAAAAAGAGGTAAGGGGAGAGAGGATCTCCTTGCCTAATGCCTTGTTGAGGTTTTAGTGTGCATCTAGTTTCACCATTAGCAATTACATCATACTGGACTGGGCTGATACATTGGACAATCAGGTCGACCCAATTCGGATGAAAACCCATTTGAAGCATAAGTGCTTCAACAGAATCCCATTCGACCCTACATAAGCTTTATTCAAGTCAAGTTTACTAGCCATGAATTCATTCACTCTTTCGTTTGTTTTCAGGAACTAAAAAGTCTCATTCGCTACTAGTATACTATCTTGGATCTGTCAATTTGGGAAAAAAACAGTGTGATTTGGTGTGATCAGTTTATTCAGCAAAGGTTTCAACCTATTGGTCAACACTTTTAAGAAGATGATTTTGTAACTAAAGTTGCACAGAGCTATTGATGTAAATGGTGTCATGCCTTCTGGTATAGCTTCTTTGGGAATCAGCCCTATGTTGGTCTTGTTCAGTTCTTTAAGCAGATGGCACCCTTCGAAAAAATTTGTTACTTTTTTGTACATCTCAAGTCCAACAATAGACCAGAATTTATGATAGAATATACCTTGCATTGGAGCTTTGTAGGCCTCCTCTTGTGTGACTGGTTGCAGCAGATTCCTGTTCATTTCCTTTGTGATCATGGGGGATATTACTTCTAGCACTGCCTCCATTTTTCTAGTCCCTGCCGTTTGGAAGAGAGCTTGAAAATATTCATTCATAGGGGCGTTCAGTTATTCGTCATCTTCTACCCTTCTCCCATCTTCAGCCTTGAGTCTTAAAAAATCTGGTTTCGCTCCTCCTTTGGATTGTTGTTAAATGGAAAACAAGGGTGTTCTGATCACCCGCTTTGAGCCAATTAACTTTTGATTGTNTCAGTCGTCCTCATTTTTTGATAGTTTCATGAGAGGATTAACATGAGACACGTGGTTGTTTTACGCCAGTCACCACCGCCTCATTTGAGGGGTTGGTGTCACTTGCTACTGGAAAGGTACTTGGAACTTACTTTTATCTTGTTCATGCAGTGGCCGTTCTCTTTGGCACTTGAAGTTTGCGGTCTCTATAGTTTTCACTTCTATGCAAAGCTTTGTTCCTGCCACTTGGTCTCCTATCAGATTCAGATTTCCTTTGAAGTTTTTTCCTTTCACCCGTTTGTACCCTCTTGTCATGATCGACTTGTCAGGCCAGGAGTTAAGTATAGCTTTTGGGTCCTTTTGCAACTTCATGATGTAGGAGTTATTTGGTTCCAGAGGGAGCATATCTCCTTCCATACTCTTGTGTCTTTTCGGTTAGCAGGAAAGGTCAATTTCTTATGTCCCTTTTAGTTGAAATTCATCTTGACAAAACCTACCGCTAGCTTGAGGCTTACATGGTTTGGTACCAAGGTTTGGGTGATGGGCTTATGGTAAAAAGGTCCTTCTGGATTTTCTTTTTTACATTCCACATGTCCCAGGTATTTGGTTTGAATTAGGTCCATTGAGAAGTGATTTGGACTTTTTGGTGGTTTAGTCACAAAGTGTTGGGTTTCACTAGGGCTTTCCCTTGATGGCTGATATGGGGATATGTGGTGGACTTGGGGAATTAGGGTTACCACATCTTTTCCTTTTTTCAGGAGGATCATGTTTCCTACCTTATAAGTTGTATATGAGTGAGTACCTTCTTGGTTTTGTGTCTTATTGTCTAATATTCCGGTTTGTTGGCCATAGGTCGATAGTGGGTTTGTCTGGTAGATTTTTGTTGTTGGATGGTGATCCCTTTTGAAACGTCACAGCCTCCACCCTATTGCAATTCGCACGTGTTGTTAGGCGGTAGGTTGTGTTCACCTATCGCTTGGGTGCCATTTTTCTCCGATCGTTTGCATTATTTGGAGTGGGTTTCCAGTCGCCTTGGAATTTTCAGTCCATTTTCTTTGAAGAAAACTTTTGATTGATTTGGTTTTGACTCCTAGATCTGGTCCATATGCATCTTCTCCAACTTCCTTAGTGTTCCTCTCTAGTTAGAGATCACGACTAGGGTCAAGCAGTCCAAATTTGTAGCAGAAATTGGACAATCTCTCATATTTAAAGTTGATCCATAGGTTGTCAAGATTGTCTTCAACTAAGTGGAATCCCTTTTTCAAAGGTTCTGTTATATCAATTGAGCATTTGACTCGTAGGTAGTTTCGATTGAACACTATTTCTCTTTTCGATAGATGGTGGGTCTGAAACATTTTTGTGAATTGCTATTCATGTTTATGGTCTTGACATACTTGTAGAATGGGGTTGAGACTTGAGAAAGATGTTCCCTTTTTTCATGTAGTAGTGGCTGCCTAGTGCGATGCATGGAATTCTTAACCATCGTTTTGCCCTCCCTATCCTGTACCAAAGAAAACCTCTGGTTGATTTGCTTTGATTCCTAGATCTAGTCCATATGCATCCTCTCCAACTTCCTCAGTGTTCCTTTATGGGTAGAGACCACAACTGTAGCCAAGCCATCCAAATCTGTAGTATAAATTGGACAATCTCTCATATTTAAAATTGATTTATATTTCGTTAAGATTGTCTTGAACTAAGTAGAATCCCTTTTTCAAAGGTTCTGTTATATCAATTAAGCATTTATCTCGTAGGTAGTTTCAATTGAACACCATTTCTCCTTCCGATATATGGTGGGTCTGAAACATTTTTTGTGAATTGTTATTCATGTTGATGGTCTTGACATACTTGCAGAATGGGGTTGGGGTTGAGACTCGAGAGAGATGTTTCCTTTTTTTCATGTACTAGTGGTTGCCCGATGCTTACCCATTGCCTTGCCCTCCCCGTCCAGTACTAAGGTTTGGGTGACGGGCTTATGTTAAAAGGGTCCTTCTAGATCTGCTTTTTTACACTCCACATATCCCAAATATCTGGTTTGAATTGGGTCCATTGAGAAGTGATTTAGGCTTTCTGGTGGTTTAGTCACAAAGCGTTGGGTTTCACTTGGGTTCCCTTGATCGCTGATATGGGGTGTGGTGGACTTGGGGAATTAGGGTTTCCACATCTTTCCCTTTTTTCAAGAGGATCATGTTGTCTACCTCATTAGTTCTTTACGAGTGAGTTCCTTCTTGCTTTTGTCTCATTGTCAGGTATTCTGGTTTGTTGGCCATGTGTCGACAGTGGGTTTGTTTGGTAGATTTTTGTTGTTGGATGGTGACCCTTTTTGGAATGTAATAGCTTTCACCCTATTGCAATGTGCGCGTGTTGTTAGGCAGTAGGTTGTGTTCACCTATCGCTTCGGTGCCATCTTCTCCGATTGTTTCCACTGTTTGGAGTGGATTCTAGCCTTCTTGAAATTTTCAGTCAATTTCCTTGTCCAATTTTTTTTGAAGAGAACTGATTGACCCTATTTAATGCATAATTTAATTAAGTTAATAGGTCAATTGTATTAGTTAAACAAAGTTAAACTAATCAAAATAAGTCAAATTAGGGTTAGTGTGTGAATAAATGATAATGCATTAATTGTTGTTCTTTTCAGGGCTTTGTGTGTCAAAGCTATAAATTACTAGAGAGTCAATTGCATTAAAGCTACAAACTACTGGGGTGCCAATTATCGAAGCTTAAAACAAAGGGGAATCAAAGAATTCAAGGCCACAAAACAAGACTCTCATGTAATTCAAGGTCACCAAACAAGACTTTCATGTAATTCAAAGCCACAAAACAAGACTTTCACCCTCCCTTGTTGCCTATAAATACCACCCCTAAGGACTTGTAAAACATTTATCTTTCGGTAATGAAAAATCCTCCAAAAGTATTATTGCTCTCTTGCTCATTGTTTTCTTTAAGTATTACTTTATTTTATTGTATTATTGCTTTCTTTTACTTCTATTGTTAAGCTTCCTTCTTCCCTTAGAGAAGTGAAATTCTTCCACTTTTCTAAGAGCTTACCAAAGCCGTGAAGGGTGGAACGTGATTCATTCATTCTTTGTCGACGATCGGCTCCTTGTGTAAAGTGTTTTACCTTGTAACTCCTCTACTTAGAAGGATGAGCATCACTCACTTTTTTAGCTTTACCAAAGCCATGAAGAGTGAGTAGTTTCTCATCCAATTTTTAGTAAGAGGTGAAAGAAATGTATAATTATTTGGAAGTTATATTTGTATATTTTGTTTATATTTAGCTTCAATCTTCATTTCTTTATAATGTCTTCTTATTATATTGTTGTCTTTACTTTAAGCATGAGTAGCTAAATCTCTTAGATGGCAAAACCAAGGGGAACCTCCACTTGGGTATACCATTTTTAACTCATTCTCCTCCCTTCTTTCAGAGTTCAATTGTTCGGTTTGACTGGATTGAGGATGGATAACTTGGTGAGTCTTTGATATTCCGTGGGCCTAGTCACGATTTATGCTTAGATATTCACCAATCTTATCCCTAACTTTCCACGAATCAATCGTTCATTCATGCTCTATCGGAGGAGGGTTTCAAGTTGAGACGGTATTCTTTTTTGAGTGACCTCTTGAATTTGTCAACATTTATTTCTCATTTTACTAGCATCAAAATAACTTCCAACAATCAAAGATTTTACACTTTCTTTCTCCCAAAATCACATTCCCCTCGGTTTACTTCTTTTCCCGTGAAAACGACCTTGAAATACCACCAAGTAAAACACGATCCGTGAAAGTTTCCTTGCCCTTGGGGAGCATTTTTGTTCACACACACACACATTTGACATTTCATTCATCTACCATTTCGTTGCCTTTTCTTTTGACATCATCCCAAGGAGAGTGACACACCCCTTCATCCATATACTATACATGCTAAAAGGTGATGTTTAGAGGTTAGGAAACAAAAAGGAATTTTCTCAAGCAAGAACCTTTGATTATTTTGGTTTGATTCCTAGCTCTGGTCCATATGCATCCTCTCCAACTTCCTCAATGTTCCTTTCTGGGCAGAGACCACAACTGTGGCCAAGCCGTCCAAATTTGTGCTACAAATTTGGATAAGCTCTCATATTTAAAGCTAATCCGTAGGTCATCAAGATTGTCTTGAACTAAGTACAATCCCCTTTTCAAAGGTTTTGATATACCAATTGAGCATTTGACTCGTAGGTAGTTTCGATTGAACACTATTTCTCTTTCCGATAGATGGTGGGTCTGAACTATTTTTGTGAATTGCTATTCATGTTGATGGTCTTGACGCACTTGTAGAATGGGGTTGAGAGTTGGACGAGATGTTCCCTCTTTTCATGTACTAGTGGTTGTCTAGTACGATGCATGGAATTCTTACCGATCTCCTTGCCCACCCCGTTCTCCTTCCTCTCCCTTTTTTCCTTTCTCATTCCATCATTTGAGAAGTTAGATAGAGAATTATGAAAAGTTAGGGTGATAAAAGAATTATTGAAACTTAGGGTGATAAAACTAATTTTTCAAGAAACAAAAAATATATAAATGAGTGGTAGTTAATTATTAGGGAGAGGGGTTGTTACATGGGACGTGTGCTATAATATAATTGGATCAAATCTTGTGTTATGATTAAATAAATATAAATTTTAAGAAAAAAGAAAATTGGGA